TGAAGTTGGACTATTAAATAATATTTAATTATTATATTTTTCCAATTTTCTTCTAGCTAGTGTATCACGTGAAAGGACCTCAGTCACCGTCAATTGAATTATATCCAATTAAAAGAGAAGGCTGGTCGTGATATATTACAATTCTCCTTATCAGTCTGACGCCATAGTTCTGGATTAAAACAGAATGAAAATATATTCCTTTTTTAGAAAAAAAGAACACGATTTTTTTGAGAATAGGTAAGTAAAGTGTAAGGTATTGAAATTTTATACAGTAATATTAGATAAATATTATTTAATTTTAACTCCTAAATTAGACTTCTTTAACTTTATTTGATTTATTTACAAATTAATGCTTGTTAAAAAATGCTCAATAGAATTTCTTCGAATGTCATATAATAAGAGTGTCTTAGCAGCTCCACATAGCGCTCTTAGCTCTCCAAGTGTTTTTGGCAATTTTTGATACCCATTGGTGACTAAATGAAATTATGGCTGCAACATACAATAATATCCTATTCTACATTAGTCCTTTGTCATTAGTCATTTTGCAAACCAAAACCTCAGGAGTCGTACCTGGGCCCAGTCAATTGTTTCTTCCACTTGAATGATCCTATCAACGACTAAATATTTACTCGTCATGTACTAAGAAAATCTTTTCATTTCCAATTTCTGTTAATTCAAAGTTATAAAAAATCTATTTGTTTTTATAGCTCATGTCCATAGCTGTAAAGAAAAGTTGGCCGTTTGTTTCTACAAAAGAATTTATATTTTGCATAAGAATAGAAAGAAAGAAAAAAAGCTGTTTTGAAGAAGCCTCAAGTAAATTGTGTAGGAATTATTTTAAACAAACAATTAAATTCATTCTTTAACTGTCGTTTGTTGGCTTAAAATTAGCTAAAATATTAATATATCGTATGAGCAAACAGAAGCGGGGCAAACCGCTAGTATATAATAAAAATTTTATGTTGTCATGGATGTACTCGTACTTTAAACTAGTTTTATAAAATAATTCAACATAATAATCAAATAAAAAATGCCCTGTTTTGTCAACTCAATTCTAAGCAAATTCCATTCCCATTTTCTTACGACTTTAAAATCATTCGCGTATATAGGTATGGTATCGTTAAGCTGGGTAACAAACACAAATTTAATGCATAATAATATACACGTAATAATTGTATCTTAATTTAAAAAAAAATACTATCTATACAATTAATAAAACTGTAGGGGTCAAATGTCTGTACATAGAAAAAAATGCTAAAAACCAAGTCAGGGGGATGTAAGAAGAAAAAAAGAACAATTCCAGATTATTTTCAACTTTTTTATTTCTCGTCTGTTTATCTTTTTGTACGAGCTAATCTCTGAAACTGTTCGACCGATTTAAATGAAATTTTGCATGGTGGTGCCTTATATCTCCAGTCAGTTTTATATACCTTTTGTCCCAGAAAATTAAAGAGTTCCCGTGGGATAGTTAAAAAAATATAGTAACTTATACAGTTTAATACACAAAAACTTCTTATTGGATTTTAATGCAACTTTACAATAAGTTATACATCAGAATTATAAATAAGCTACTTTTTATCCCGGAAAAATGTTCGGTTCCCGTGGGATAGATTTGTTTTTGAGTGTCCAGAGGCGAACCCAAGCGAAGCGAGGGTGAGCCGCTAGTAAAAATTAAAACGAAATTTTTCTAAAAGTTTAATAGCGGTGTAGGATATCTTGTGTTAAGAGCTTGCTCGAACTTGCTTCTTATCTTACTTCTTGCTAAGTTTATGAACGGATAAGATGGAATGAGAAAATCTCAAAATGCATTATTGACTATTCGAGATTGTGTCACAACTAACATCTCAGACAGCGCTTGTTGATTTAAGATTTATTATGTTTTAGACGATATATTCTTAGATTAATGTGATTATTTTTATAATGACGTAGACAGATACTTCATATACGCATATTTTTATGGCGTACTGCATCCAATAATATTCATATTCCATAATAATATGCTTTAATCAAAAGTAACGTAAAAATCGGTTCTATATTGCATAAATTATTATTCTATTTTCTCAAAGGTATTAAAGGAAAATAAATCTGTAACTGAGTGTTTTCAAAAGATTATATTCAATTTTACTAAAATGAATGAATGCTTGAAAGATTTGACGATATCTTGGATGATGCCAGCAGCCCACAGCTTCAAGTAGGAAACTTTGTGAAATCAAAGCCTAATCCTTGCATTCCAGCTCTGTTTACATTCAAACTGCGAGATTGGAATTATTAAGATGGCGACGATTGTGTTAAACTTGTTGGGAAGCAGTCGGCTCCTTATTCAAATGCAGATTTAGGTCAGACGTCAATTGACTTGGAACAGAGTAATTAAAGAGGACTTTTAGAAGTTAAATTGCTTTGATTTATAATCTCTTATCTAAAAATATGCGAAAAATAAAAAAAAACACACTTTAATAAAATTTAAAAAAATGTATATGAGAAATCGTGCCTTTGATTATGATTTTGATGTTACCTAAATAGATACTTAATTAATTACTATTGTTATTTATGTTTCTTTTATAAATTCAATTAATATTCGCCCTTTCTAGCAATTCGTGAATTCTTCTTTAAAAAAATATTCTTTTGTAAATAACAATCATTGGTTGGTACTTAGTATAGTTTATCCGCTAAGATGATTACACAGATGGCAGCCAATCAGTACTAGTCTGTTTACTGACGCGGTAGACATTATAATCTGATCAAAGGAACAAAACTCTATTGACAGCTGACAAACTTTTCTTCCACTTTAAGCTTATGATAGATATTCTAAAGTTAAAAGGATTAATTTAAAAGGCTTTGACAGGACTATATTTGACATATTTTGTCTAATGGTTGTAGCGAGCTTCTAAAAGGCCGAAGTGGGGTAGATGGTTATTATTTAGACATCTCGATATATCCTGTAAGTATATAAAGTATAGTAAATATACGGGAGACTCAAATTAGTCAAGGCTTTAAAACAGAAGTTCAAACATACTTATATAGTTTCCTCAGATGAATAATAAACTTCCTTAAATGAGAAAGCTCGTATGTAGTATCTCATGATAGTTATTTAGCCTCCCTCTTAACGCCTTATCGCAGCGACAGTAGTGTGAATATACTTGGCAGTTCTCATAGATTGTGCTAAATAATGTAAGATTTGTGAAGGCGCTGCAGACGGCGCCTGAGAGGTCGTCGACCCCTGCCTATTCTGGGCCCCCGCTCCACATTTTTCTTCTCGGACACTACGTTTAACGTGGGGCGTACACAGAAAATGTGCTACGTCTTCGCCATGCTGAATGCGCGACTATTGTTTTGCTTTTGCAATCTCATGTGTAATCTCGTATGCTCCTCCTTCGTGAAACGCCAACGTGACAGCAAAAAGACATAAGGCTGTTTTTCAAGAAAAAAAGGTAAAATAAAAGTAGGATATTTGTTATTTTTGATTTTAAGAATATGCAAATAAAATCTAAGTACGTACAACAGGGGCAAGAGACGATAGATTTACTTAATAGAATTCTATCACACTTGTTTGCTCTAATGCTTAACGTATTATAAATTACAAAAAAAAACAAACATACATATATTATTATACAGAATAATTAGTTTTTAAACCTCAATTTAAATTAGGCTGTGTTGACACAAAATATATGGTAGCCTCTGTTGCCGTCTCCTAGAGACCATGTATTACGGCATACAGCGCCTCTCCCCCAATTATCTGTATTTATCAATTTATCTGAAGCTATTGATATAAAGTGAGTTTTTTTTACATATTATTATTTAAAGGTTCAACCCTAAAAAATGAAGAAGGATATCTACACAAAAAAAAAAACGATTCTTCAGTAAATACAATGAGTAATGTAGATATCTTTTAAATTAAATATATAATGACTCTTAAAAAAAACCTTTAACACAATAACGACATTTATAAATGATTATGGATTGAAAAAGAAAGTAGTATTTTCTATAGAAATTTTATGTCTTAATTTAATGATGTTTTAGTCTTAATTACCTATTGACTTTACTATTAAGCAATTTTAATTTACTAAAGGAAGCTACTTACTATATTAATATCTGCCTCTTGATTTTAAAGATGAAAGCTTATAGTGCTACAAGGAGCATTTGGCACTTAGGTGACATTGACATGAGGGCGTGGATGTGAAATTAGGGGTTTTCTTATATATAAAAAAAAACCTCTTAACCTCTATAACACCACGTCATATTTTGAGATATTTTATTGAAATAAAAATACGAAATATATAAACAAACATCAACTCCAACTTCTCTCAAAAGTGATCCTTTACAAGATGGCGGTGCTAGTTCTGATTTCGACCACGTGTCAAATGATCCTTATAGTAAGTACTTGTAGTTAAACTATGATATCTACAAAATTTACCAAAAGACCTACAGTTACAAAAATGATGATTTGTCTCTCAAATGCATTAAGTACGCTCCATATATAAAATTTAATATAATTATTAATCTGCTGAAAATTTTAGATACGTACACTTTTTACTTTTTATATACTCTTAAGAGAACACACATTATACCTTTATAAAATGACGCCAAAATGTCGCATGTTTCTGATTTACAACGAGGCAAAGAGTTGTAATTTACGAAGTGATGATGAAGACGTCTCAATTACACCGCATTCATCGTGTGACGAGCGAGTATGATTCGTAACATTCATGTACCCTCAAAGAAACTTAGTCTTTGTGCTGTTAGTTATTTACTGAATGTGCCTTTTCTTCTTGAAACTAGATGACCACATACAAATCTACTTTCTAAATAATAAATTTTAACACGATTATTAAAAATTTGTGTAATAAATGGAATGTGATTTATGTAACGCGCTGTAAATATTCATGCAACATGTGTACGTTTTAATATCTTTCTGTCTTTTGGTACCTACCTAGTTCTTATATTGAACATTTATTTTGATTGAACATTTATGTCTGTGCAATAAGAGCTACAGTTATGAATCACAAATAAATAACAAGTGCATAAGGTTTCGTTACAGGTTTAATGATGAAAATCAGTTCAGTGGAGTTTGTGAGACGAGGCATGAACTTGCGGCGCAGAACAGCACTCGAGTCTCGAGCGGTCGACTCGGATATATTCGCTAAGGTTGCAAATGTTTTGACCGCATTTTCGCATGTGACTGGACGGAGCAACAGCGCGTACCTGTTGAAGTTTGCGATCATTTTCTTAATGTCTTATGCTTAAGACTTTAAAATTTAGTTCTTGCTGATATATCGATCAGGCAGGTAGTTCCATCTTATCTATTCTAGAAAAATATCGATTTTATAATTTATATTATTGTATTAATTTTGCTACGAGTCGGGAATATATTGAGCTACTGGTTAATAAACCTGCTTAACAGTTAGCAGTCATGAATTTTTTTTTTTTAAAAACGTGTAAGTTTATAAAGCAAAAATTTGTTTTTAATTCATTTTTTATTTTTATACTGTGTAACGTTAAGTCAGTACCTGTGTTTCTATAAATACTTACTTTATATTAACCTTTTCTTTTATTATAAGGGATGGACATGTCATGAAAAAGTTATATTTATAAAACTGACGCTAAAAGCGGTTCAGTTTAGCGGTGAAGTATTTAATTGATATAATTGGCTTTCGGGCCTGCCATTAGAGAAACCTTTTGACCCACTGGCCGTTTTAGAAACTGACGCCTTTTTTTGCTCTAAACGAAATTCACTTGTACGTTTTCCTCGAATCCCTTCGGTTTAATCTTTTTCATTATTCAGATCAGAACCTTTTTGATATTTTGACCATAAATAATAAAAAGGATATCCTTATTGTCCTATTTCTATTTATATAATTTAAAAAATGATGTATGCTGCTATCTTAATTATAACAGAATAAGTATACTACCTATATATATAATAATAAGCTTTAAATAAAAAATAAAATATATTATTAACAGTTTATATATGTAAATTTATTTATATTCAATGTACTTCATGCCTAAAATTAAGAATTGACAATACTTTATACTTTTAATTAATTTAAATAAAAAAATAAAAAAAAATAAAATTTAAAATTAATTACTACTTCGCTCGAGCTCGTCCCTGGGTACATTTTAACTCTTAGTATGAAATAGATTATATATATATATATATATATATATATATATATATATATATATATATATATATATAACTGTCTCGGTGGTGTAGTGGCTAGCATGTACGGCTGCACACCGGAGGTCCTGGATTCGAGTCCCGGGTCGGGCCAAGTTTAGTTATTGAGTATTTCTGTATAGTAAGCCTCAGTAACAGCCCGGAGTTGGGAAGTTGGCGGTGATTCAGCCCCGTGCCTCGGAGAGCACGTAAAGCCGTTGGTCCTGCGCCATAACTCTCACTGGTCGTGTCGAGCAGTCGTCCCACCGGAGTATGAGAGTGACAGGAATAGAGAGTGCACCTGTGTCTGCGCGTACACTTGTGCACTATAATATCTCCTGTGCAGTTGGCTAATTTCAATGAGATTGGCCGCCGTAGCTGGAATCGGCTAGGAGAATATCATATAGGAATGATGAGTTGTTATGGATTGTATTATAACGTGTTTTCCCGTGAGAACGAGATAATCTCTCTCGCGGTAAAAAGTCCTTGCCACTTTCCAGCCCTCCAACAGTCTTCACACAAAAACTTTCATGTTTATAATATTAATATGGATATATTATATAATATAAATAGTAAGTAGGTACGTTTTGTCTAGAATGTAGACATTAAAGGAAAGTAAGAAAGTTGAAGAGCGAAAGTATTTGTCTATGCCCCTATGATAAAGCATCAAACTATAAAATTAATTATCGTATACCCGATTTATTATAAATCCACTTAAATTAGCTTTCCCTGGCATCTCACTGTTCGGCTATTGGTCGGGAGTTAATAAAAAGCATTCAATTGATTGCGACACGGGAACAGTGCGGGTAAAACTGATCCCTGCTCCGAGCTCGTGCTGTACACATGAAAAATGACCTCTAAATCACAGCTACTGCAGGGGCGATTGCCCACGCGATACAAAGAGATTACGACATCACGGTAATCTATACATATAATAAAATTCTAAGTCGAATCTTTACATTAAATATATTTTGGAAAATCTTATTGAAATAGACATTATTATCGATACAGAGGCCGAATCTATAGTTTTTAGAATTTTTGTCTGTCTGTCTGTTACCGTATCACGAGAAAACCACTGGACAGATTTTGATGAGATTTGGTACGACGATAGCTGATTATCTGAGTCAACATATAGGATACTTTTTACTGCGGGAAAATTACTCATTTCTGAGAAAAAAAAACAAAAATTGCATTGTAAGAGTATACTACTATATAAAACTTAAGAATTTGGTTTTTATTCATCTAAACGCGGGGCGGAGCCGCGGGCAATGCTAGTACGTCAATAAATATATCCTAACTATAACTATATAACTCGTAGTTAATATCCTAATTATAGGTATATTAACTACGAGTGTATTCGTGTAAAGGCTGCATTTTTAAATTAAAACTTTACTCAAGTACAATTTTATCTTCTATCTATACTATAATAAAAGAGTAGAGGTCGAATGTCTGTACATATAAAAAAAATGCTAAAAACCGAGTCAGGGCGATGTAAGAAGATAAATAGAACAAATCCATATTTTTTTCAATTTTTTTGTTTCTCTGTCTGTTTGCTTGTTTGTCTGTTTGTACGGGCTAATCTCCGAGTCTATTGGACCGATTTGAATGAAATTTTGCATGGTCGTACTTTATAGCCCTGGGCAACATCTTAGATACTTTTTATCCCGGAAAATTAAATAGTTTCCGTGGGATAAAAAGAACTATAATAACTTATACAGCTTAGTACACAAAAACTACTGATTCGATTTTAATAAAAATTTTACAATAATATAGTTCATACATGATAATAACAAATCGGCTACTTTTCATCCCGAAAAATGGAAGAGTTCCCGTGGGACAGTCAAAAAACTAAAGTAACTTATACAGCTTAGTACACAAAAACTACTGATTGGATTCTGTTGAAACTTTACAAGAATATAGGTCGTACATCAGAATAACAAATAGATTACTTTTTATCCCGGAAAAATGTACGGTTCCCTTGGGATAGATGTTTTCGTTTATTTCTAACGTATTATGTACACAAAATAGACCCCAAAACAATAGTTATTAAAAAAATGTCTGTTTGTCTGTTTGTTTGTCTGTTTTTATATGCGCGTTTCACGCGAAATGTAATGAAGCGATTTCAACGAGATAGCCGGAGACAGCCGGAGATAACCGGAGATAGCCGGAGATAGCGGGGGATAGCCGGAGATAGCCATAGATAGCCGGAGATAGCCCTAGATAGCCGGATATAGCTGTAGATAGCCGGAGATAGCCGTAGATAGCCGGAGATAGCCGTAGATAGCCGGAGAAAAGAAATAAACAGTTCCCGTGGGAATTAATAAATATAGATAAATAATAGATCTCTATTAGTGTTTTTCTAGAGGCGAACCCGAGCGAAGCGAGGGTGAGCCACTAGTAATTAATAAATGATGGCATCCCTAAGCAGACTATGAATCAAAGGGCTCATACTTGATTCACCGGAACAAAAATTCTCCAACTTTTAAATTATCTCTATACATCGACTCGTTGCTCTATTCTTGTATAAAAGGAGAAAATTATAAAACATACAATTATATGCATTTATATATAAAGGTCAACTTAGTAACTTAGTCGCACACTCGAGACAAGAATTTAGAACAAATACATAATCTATACTAATATTATAAAGATGAAAGATTTGTTTATTTGTTTGTTTGTACTAAATAGGCTCCGAAACTACTGAACAGATTTAGATGACATTTGGTAAGTAGATAGTTTGAGACCTAAGAAAAAACATAGGATAGTTTTAATCCCGGAAATCATTCATTAACAGTGTGAAACTGGGGATGAAAATTTGTATGGGGAAGCAACCTAGGGACGAACCCGAGCGAAGCGAGGGTGAGTCGCTAGTGAATACATAAGAGAAAAGTCTGGAAAGTGGTGATAAGTCGGACATGGAGGAATCAGGAAGGCGATTAAGATAAGTTGTTATTACAGTTTGTTATGCTACATTTATTTAGCCTTAGCTAGAGAGACGAAGGGATGAACCAACCTAACGTATTTAATCTCGAAGTTTCTGTTTTGTGCCATGTGTGATGAGTAAAAACCTTCTGATAAATGTCATACTGACATTTGACATCTATTAAAAGTTAAGTTCAGTTATTAATTACATTTGACCTATATACTCGTAAGTATAATTTATGTTATTTAAAACGTAAACGTTCGTTCAAGCAGTAATTAAGTAGAGAATCTACTCCCTCGGTGGTGTAGTGGCTATGTACGGCTGTACACCCGGAGGTCCTGGGTTCGAGTCCCAGGTCGAGCTAAGTTTGTTGCGTCTTTCTGTATAGTAAGTCTCAGTACAGCCCGGAGTTGGAAAGTTAGCGGTGTCTCGCCCCCGTGCCTCGGAGAGCACACAAAGCCGTCGGTCCTGCGCCTTTACTTTCACTGGTCGTGTCGATTAGTCGTCCCACCGGAGTATAAGAGTGACAGGAATAGAGAGTGCACGTTGTGTCTGCGCGTACACTTGTGCACTATAATATCTCCTGCGCAGTTGGCTAGTCTCAATGAGATTGGATGCCGTGGCCGAAACCGGTCAGGATAACATCATCATCATCAAGTAGAGAATCTAAGATGTCCTGTAGTATGTAGTTATGTTTATTTATGTATAGCTATAAGTATATATTTGTTTAGGTGTGATTACACAAATTTAACAAGCTGACTATTTTCTATTGCACTCGTGGGAATGCGACGCTGAGTTTGCTTTTTACCGCGCTACCGGATAATGCATCATTACTCATAGCGCATTGCACCGGTTTGACACCTGCAGCTAAGCACTGCTATTTCATTTGCATTTTATTATAATAGATACATCTGCATCTTGCTTGAAGGTGTAAAAAATCTATTATAAAAGTCACTTGTAATATGCAAAATGATTATAGGAAATATTTGGACTTTTCTCGTAAATATACATAGATAACTAAAACAGGAAGAAGCAGTAAGCTTTCTAACACTAATGTCGTGGCTTTTATTATTCTTATTAGGAGAAATCCGACGACACGTTTGGCTCAGTTTGTAGTGACCCTACGTGCTGTGCCAGCGGTC